TTATATATATATATATATATATATATATATATACCGAGCGAGCTCTTCGTTATTGAATATGTAGGTAGGTATATAGGTATGTATGTAGAATGAATGAAGGGGATAAGTGGATGCTAGTCTATTTCTGGTGTTGAGACGGAATCTTCGCTGTTAGACGGGGGTTGAATCCGAGGTGTGAGATTGATTCTGGTTATTAAGTACGGTAGGTAAGTGCGTCAAAGCAAGGCTTTTTTTCTTTTTCTTTAGAGAGCTTTTCTGATGATGCATGCGACGTTGTTGACGCTGTGAAAGCTTGGTCGCGCCAAGGAGGCGAGGGTGCTGGAGCCTGTTGAGCTGGAGCTTGAGCTTGAGCTTGAGCTTATTTCAACGCTCTGATCAGTGTTCTCAGCGTGGAAACAATGCGTATGGAATTCTCTGATCGATTTTCGGGGTTGGAAGCTGCTCTGGAGCTATTGACGGAATGTGATTTGTTTGCAATAGATCTAGTTTCCAATATCTATTTGCCATTGGATTATCGCATCCGCGATTCCTCGGAGGAGCAAGCAGGTCATCGCACAGCAGCGATGGCGATCAAAGAGCAATTGGCTAAATGGAAGCTAAGCAGCCAAATATGGGACCATGACCAGCTCATGATCGGCAGGCTCTGTGTACAGAATATGCACTTGACTGCATGCATTGTCTTTAGTGGCACCGCCGAAGCAAACAGGCATACCGATCCGTTGAAATAAGAGGTAAGAGGACAATCAAGCAGCTTTTCATACCCACCTTGGTAAGCGGATCGATCGTGGCGAAATCGGGAAAACCTAATATCACCCCTATCACCCCTATCACCACTATCACCACCGCCACTATCGCCACCACCCGTCGCTTTGAAACTGGCCGGCTTCAATTTGGTGGTGTACTGCCGACAGCCCAACTCCAAGTTAATGCGAGGCTGACAAAGTGTCCCCGACCACTCGCATCGTACGTACTACCTAACTAGCCGCCCCCAACCGATCAACCTGCACGCAGCCGCTTTCCAAATTATTCAAACATCCCCTATAATCGCCCACGCTGGTAAGAAATGCTGTGGCACTTGGAGAAAAAAGAGACACAAACTCGAGCTTGAATATTAATTTCAGACGACGTCACGACGCCAACATCGAGTCACGACGACTTGTACAACCGTTACACGAGACGACCATGTTGAAGCTCCCCATACGGCCGCCCACACGCTCTCTCGGCATCCGCTTGCTTGTGGCCGCCGTGATCTTGTTTGCACTGGTGCAATTGCACCTGTCATACAATAGCAGCGGAAAGATATATCAGTCCGTATGGAAATGGAGCTCCGGGACTGACAGACCGGGAAGCCCAAGCCCGCACAATGGCACTTTGAGGGAGGGCTGTGAGGGCCTGACGGGATTCGACAGAGTCGTTATCATCGTCAAGACGGGGGCTACGGAGGCGGAGAAAAAGATCCCAACACAGTTGAAGACGTCGCTGCGCTGTGCCCCGTACGTGTATATCTTCTCAGATATGGCGCAGACGATTGGGGAAACCCCAATTTACGATGCGCTTGATACCATTTCGCCCTCCTTGACAGAAGAAAATCCCGATTTCGACCTTTACCGCAAACAGTATGAGATTGGGGACCCCGAGCGGATCATGGCTGAGCTGTCTGGTTTGAAGGACGCCCGGATAACGAGTGATCTTGCCGCTTGGACGCTCGACAAGTACAAGAATATGCACATTGTCGAGAAAATCTGGGCGATGAAGCCGGAAATGGATTTCTATCTTCATATCGACGCTGACACCTACGTGGTCTGGTCCTCTCTCATCACGTGGATTCAGCGACTCGACCCTTCGAAAGAATCATACATGGGTTCACTAGCACTCATCAATGGTCTCCCCTTCGGCCACGGCGGGAGTGGCTATCTGATGTCGCGAGAGGCGATGCGTGCATTCGCCGTAACGCACAACGGCACAGCCGCAAAATGGGATTCGCGGATGCACGAGGAGTGCTGCGGAGACTGGACGCTGGCCCAGGCGCTGAAAGAGTATAACATGCCGCTGAAAAACTCGTGGCCGACGATCAACGGGGAGACGCAGAGCACGATTCCCTTTGGGGATGACCATTGGTGTCAGCCATTAGTGACGCTGCATCACATCTCTAACGTCGAAGCCGAGCAGCTGGCAGCTTTTGAGGCAGAGAGGGAGAACAAGAGCGTGCGTATCTACTCCCTCAAGTCTTTCCCCCCGGCTCTCCGGTGAGATCAGGAAATCGCAGACTTACACATTTTAGTCCCCGCTCCTCTACTCAGAGCTCTTCAATGATCTGGTGTCTGACACTATCCCCACCCGCCTCGCCTCCTGGGATAACCTCTCCAAGAACGTCATCATCGCCGGCGTCTCTTCCGCCGACGCCTGCTTCTCTGCCTGCCAAGACAAACTCTCCTGTCTCCAGGCGCGCTGGAACGGCGAGCAGTGCTTCATCGACACCAAGCACGTCTCGTTCGGCAAGCGAGTCGACGTGCAAGATGGAGAGGGCGTGAGGTGGGAGAGCATGTGGAACAAGACGAGGATCGCCCAGTGGGCGGCGCAGAAGAAGGAGTGCGGGAAGCCGGAATTCCCGTTCCAGGAGCGGCCCAGTCGGTGGTTGGATGCTGGGATGTCGTGAAATTCTGCTTGTGAAGTTATTCAGAGAGGAGTGATCTCACCTGTTTGTAAACATCCATCATTTATTCACGAGGCTGTAGGGGATAACATGGGAGGTATCTGGCGTTCGGGACGGCTGGCGGGCATCCTCTAGACGCTTAGAAGAAGGGGATCCGGTAGATATATGGGTAGAGCGGAGAGAAATGTATGCATCATAGCTGTAGCAGCCGAGCTCGACGTCGCTCTCGCTTGGGAAAAGTAGATAGAAGATAAGGCAAAGAGGACTCCGATAACGCAAGGTCGGCGAAGCAGAAGTGTGCATAAAATAAAACCAAACTATCTAATCCATTTCCTCCGCGAAGAGACTTCAACGCAGCAAAGACGCGTCGGCCGCTCGAAGCGAAGGGCTACTGATGTAGATCCGGGGATAACTCATTGACAATGCGCCAGGGAAGAGTCGAACCCAACCCCGCTTACGGAGTCTTTCTATCTACTTTTCATACCGCAGAGGTATATCTGAATTCTCGATTCTGGAAAGCTGGACGGGGTATGTGGGTGTGTTTTACGACGGGGAAGGTCGATTGGGTGATGAATGGTGGTTTGGGGGTTGTCATTGGAATTTGGATTTGATCGGGCTTGCGTATGGTAGTTGATTGGATTGGGTGTATGGATGGATGGATTGTGGACAGTGCTTATGAGGTTGCTGGGTTGTCTGGTGTTGTTGTCAGCGGGTGGGAGAGGCAGGTCTTCTTCTTCTTTGGTACTGGAGCTCTGATAATCTGGTAGCGAAGCTTGGAAATTTTGGATATGGATTATGGGGACTCTCTATTGGGGCTGAGCTATGATATTTCTGTAATGTTATTGCGGGATAGGTAGCAAGTAGTTGATCGGTTTCGGAGGAGGGTTCTCATATGTGGTGAGCGCAGATCCTGCTTAGATGAAGGCAGTAGGTAGGTAGGTACCTAGGTGGGTAGATGGGTGACCTTGGCAGTAGTACATACGCTTTACTTGCAGACGATAGAACTCCACGGGCCCGATACTTGAAGGCCCTCATGCTCTTCTGGCCTTCGTTGAGTTCTTCTTCGGATGAAAAGTTTCAACTGATGGGCGTCAGTCGTCGACGCTAACTTTGACTTGCCATTAGCCTAGAGAGGACTGAGTGGATATCGATGAAGGCGACGGACGGCAGCTACCCTCGATTGCTAATTTGGCCATGTGTGTCTCAGGCCTGATGACCAGGAAACTGTTTAGCCATCTAAGTGCACTCTAGAATTGTGTTTGATCTGGCTTGGGGACCTGAACGTTATGGTGATTGATGAGAAGCAATCGTAGCCGGACCTAAGTAAGTGTCGTGCGGTTAACAAGGTTATAGGACTGTTTACTGCAATGGGCATTGCAGGTCTGCTTTTGCACAACAGGAAGCTATAAAGATAGCGAGCCGCGACATTGCTAGATGAGTCTTGATACTAGATACCCTTAGTCATTGAGCTCTTGATATTTTATATTTCTATATTCAATTGTCAAATTCTATTCACAGTGTGCCCAAGACTGGTGAAATCTAATATAGTCACTCGACGCTTGAATGTCTTTTTAGTTGTTCTAAACCGCACCGAATATGCTAAGGTACCAACCAGCTCGCAGTCCAAATGTCAACTCGGCCTCGGTGATTCACCGTCGCCCACCATTCACACTCAATGTATCCTTTTGAAGGCCCGGTTCAGAATGGCTCGGGAAGTTTATATACAGCTGGAGTTGCGCTCTTTATTCCTCTTTCAATCAACATCACTTCCACCCCTTTCATAATCTCTAATAATCATTTTAATCTCCAAAAATTCCAGATCAACGACAATCCCTCGACGAAACTTTTATACAAAATGGCGACTATGGCCTGGATCCCGAACGATACCAGTATCGATTCACTTCTTGCCGTTCTTCCTTTCTTGCCTTCCAAATCACCACTTCAGGATACTCTGGACCACCTCCAACTCCTCCCCTTTTATCCTACGAGGACACCGCTACGCCAGACCGCAGAGAATTATTACCTTGAGGGTATTCAAGAGTGGGCAATGGCCACCCCCGCTGAGTTTGATTTCGCTCCTGAGGATATTGCGATGGAGATGTTCGCACGTAAGTACAAGAAGGAAGACATATTTTTCTTGGACGACCAAGGTCAGCGTTGCATCATCCGCGAGAGTGAGTACTATCAACCTTCCCGATGATGTGCAAAGTTGACAAGTTCCAGCGCTCGATTACTACCAAAAGAAGCAATGGAAGGGGGATCGTGGTCTCCAACGTGTTTCCCCACGGAACGCCAAAAACAGACATTTCTACTTGAGACGCTATAAGAAAACTCTCAAGCAGATTGATAAGCCAAAAGCCGGGGGAGAGATCTTTGCCCATTGCAGCGAGCATCAATGGAATCTGCCCGTGGGACACGAGCGCCATGTGTTGAGTTTTCCCAGAGGTACATTCTGCCGGCCCTTCCAAGAGAAATCAAGGACTACATATATTGACGACCCTGTTTCTAGAAATCCTACACCTCATTCTCGAGTATTCGCTCACTCTCAAACCTGAACGTTTGTGTCTACAGCCAATGATGATCACTTGCAACTGGAAACGCGAGTGGAACGAAGAGCATTACAACATCATGACCTATGAAAATGATGGTTTCGAAGTCCGGAAATTGCCTGAAGCCCACGAAGAATTCAGATCGGAGAATATACGAAGTGATTTGGACGGAGCGTATATCGAGTTTAGAGATGTCAGGCGGGCCTCTATCGACGCCGCCTGCCTCCGAGTCTGCAAGGCTTTCCACGCGGGTACCCAATTCTTGTATGGCGGCAACAGATTCGTATTCAAAATGTTAGCCCCTATGGGTGGATGCCCACCTTCTACCCTCTACTTCAAAGCGACCAAGCAGTGGCGGCCCTGCCCGGCCAAGCCTCCATTTGATAGTCGCCTCCCGCGCAAGTTGAACGTCGTCAAGCAAATCATCCAGCAACACCTGCCGCTCCAGAAGATGCCAGGATGGATGGCCTACGATCCATTCCTACGATTCCTCTGGTCCATCTCTCCCGCCAAAGCCGCCTTACTGCGGCACCTGGACTTTACGGGCGACGTCAAGCTGCACCAATGCGCGCGCGGCGCTTGCCGCTGCGATCACGGGCTCCAGGATTCCCTCCGCCTCTACATCCCCTTCATCGTCCACTTCTGCCCGAAGGTCGAATCCATCAAGATCTTCGCATTCGAGGATCGATCCGGCATGGTCGAGCGGCAGACGGAGCCCGGGAGCCGGGCTCCCACGCTTGCCGAGGCCCTTCTTCCCATCCTCGAGACCGACATACGCCAGATCCCCAGGCTGAGGGAATTGAACGTTGTCAGCGCCGCGTACAACTATGATACCTCTTGCTACGATTACAGTCCGCTGGGCTGTGCTGAGCCGACCCGGAGGTGGCTCAGAGCGCGCACGCGTCGAGAGAGGCGGGAGGCGCACGCTGTGATGGTTGCGCGGGCGCGAGATGCAATCATGGCAAATTCAAAAACTGTGACCGGTGGGAGCGGCCAGGTCTCGATCGGCGGAGGGCGTGATGAGGTGCCGGGGAAATGTGATGGTGCGAGAAGCACGTTGGGCTGTGGCTTCTGTGGTGGAAAAGGACATGTGTGGGCTAACTGTTATAACCTCTGTGCATGTGGGGAGTACGGGCACCTCCGTGGCAGATGTAGGGGGAGAAAATGAGAGTTTTGAGTTAAAATCATATTTCTTCGTTCATCCCATTGATACAGTATATCGCCCTTTGCAGACGTGGAACTGTGACCTTAATCTGGAGGGGTTGTGATAATATAGGATCAAGGGGAAAGGAGGGGGGGGGGGGTATTGGAGTGTTCCTATGCAAAGGAATACGGTCGTAGTAGTTTTGCACTTCATTTGAGGGATTTTTTTTGTCGCGGGGGTACGTCGTGAATTTATACCTGAGATGGATACACCCAACTGCTAGGTAGGCACTTGGTATTTCCTACTGTTGACTCCCGCCTCGGTTAATCGTCTGAACCGACTTTTCCTTCCCCTCCCCATATAAGGGAGGGCTACCCTCAGTACTGAAAGAACAATGTTACCACAATCTTAAGAGGATTTTAAACCATTCAATCTCAATTCTGATCTAGGAATGACCTCGCCAATGGTTCGATAGAGTGTGCATGAACCGTTCGTTTACTGAGGCTCGGCTAATATTCACTTATGAGCGCTCGTCAGGGTTCGGTCAGGGTCAGGGTCAGAGTTAGGTAGTCCGCGGGGTTGGAGGGCGGCGGGAAGAGCCCTTCGTGAAGGGATTGTGTTTTTGTAGGGAATACAGGTGGGAAGCACACGGTGCTTAGCGGGTTAACGGACGAGCTCGAGAATTTAACTTGACGAGCCACTCCCCCCATCACGGTATTCACGAGAAGATTGTTGAAGGGAATACGCTCGTTCAGTCTTCTGGATGGGCACTAGAAACACCACGGCAGTGCACATCGCGATTAGGAGCAGTAAACGGCACACAGTTTTGACTTGAGAGGGAACAATTTGATTTTTTTTTCTATTTTTTTTTTTCTAGTGCGGTAAGCTCTCCGGTAACGAAAAGAGAAGCCCGGAAAGAAAAGCAGCGATGCGGAATGCGGAATGCGTTGTGCGAAAGGTGACGGTTTTTCCAAACTCCACAGCCGATGCCTATCCGAAAAGTAGGGCGAGCCACGGGGTGCTGCTGTTGTACACGATTGAAGGGATCGACCATCAGCACAGGCTCGTTGCTCAGCAGAGAGAGATACCGTGCCCTGATCAGGCATACGGGCGATCTCAGCAATGGGTCGGTTCTGGTGCTGGTATGGGACCGACCGATCGCCGGCCCTCTCTACCTTATTGGGTGAGAGCGGGCGTGGCTTCATCCTTGCGGATGTAGATGTTGAGGATCCCCTTTTCGCAGTAGAACCAGCTCTGGTCGAATTCCTCGTCTCGCTCGTAGGCCTCGAACATCTTATTCAGGCCGGGGAGCATGTAAGGAGGCTGGGAAACGAAATCCGCCTCTCTCTTCTTGTCCACCCAGTGGTTCTCGGTGATCAGGACGGCGGGCCACGTACCCTCGCAGATCCACCACAAGCGGGAGACTTCGTTGTCCACTGTTCTGTAGTGTTAGCGCTTGACGGCAGCTGCAGGGGTTATGGGTAGAGGATGGCGTACTGTTCATTACCAGGCTGTTGGCATTGATCATCGAGAAAGCGTCGGGGTCGTCGACGACGTTGAATGCGTTTCCTTTCAAGAACTCCTTGTCGAATCTAGAGTACGTAGGGTCCTGGATGAAACACGGCAAAAGTTTTCCTTCTTGCGCTGAGACGGTGGTAAGCATATACGTATTCTGACGCGGACGGGATGGAGACTTACGAGAAAGGATCCTTCTCATATGCATGAGGAGCGCCAACTTCATACCAGTGCCGGGGTCCATCTCCTTGCTTTCGACATCCGGGTTGACTATATGGTGGCTGCCAAGTTCCAAAGCAATGATATTCGTGATCTTTGGACCATCTTTCCTGAGCAGTGCCTTGATTCGGGTGTCCCACATGGAGAATTCTTCCTCGTTCTCCCTGCGAGATTTCTCATAAGCCGCGAGCCTTGAAGACAGATCCTCCCTCGATGTCTTATAGTACGCTTGAAACGAGATCCTTGTTAGACAGTTCTGCAGCGGATGGCTGAGGTTCGAGCTCGGCCCAATCTTCGGCTGCTCGTTTTTTTTGTTCAGCATTGTATACTGGTAGCGCAGGCTCACATTTTCCTCCAGACCCAGGCGATCGTATAGGTCGCGATCAAGCTCGTGAGTAACTTCTTCGATGCAGTCGTTTCCAAAGACACTTCTCATCAGAACAGGCCTTCGCTATTGGTTAGCTGTGCTCTGCGACTCCTCAACCGGGACGAGCAAGATTTAACTTACATATGGCTTTCTGCACCATACTTCGCACAATATTTCCTCAATTTTTCGTTCACCTGTTTACCTTTGAAAGCTTGTCGTAGAATTAGTTTGTTGTCCAGGGTGACGGTGAGGGTGGTAAGGTTAGGCTTGCTGCAGAAGATGACGAATCCCATCTTGAAAGTGGTGCGTGCTATAGTAGGAAGGAGATAAATCAGTAAAAAATCAACCATGGTATTGTTTGAAGGCAGAGTTCCTGCCCTGTCGGGCATCTTGACCTACTGTGTATTTTTTCCGTATGCTTTTCTGTAAGTTGGAAGAAGGTACCCTGAAGGTTTCCTCGAAGTTGTAAGTGGCGGACGAGCGAAGATCCGAGAAAGGTGTAAGGCAAAGATGTATTGTAAGTCGTGAAAGAGTATTGAGGCTAAGGAGTCTGGATTGTGTTATTAATGATCTGAATTCTGTTCTGTTAGTTGCGGTCCCGATGGGTCCTTTTATAAACGTTTCAAGAGGCCCTCTTTCTAAACAGATATGTCTACCAGCTACGTGATTGACTGATCTTTTTGTGAATCACGTAGATATTTCAAGAGGTCCTCCATCCAAGTAGGTTCCACAAGCGTCGTGATTGATAGGCTTTTTTGAATCACATCAAAGGGATAGACTTGTGAGCAACATCTCAACTCGTTAACATTCTGGGAATCAATTCAAGTCTCGGCAGTTCTGTGGAGCGGATCCGCGCTATAGTTTACAGTCAAGAAACCGCTCTGATGTTTTACTTTATTGGGAAAAACGTTGATTGTCCACACTACTTCTCCACTTTGGTATCAGCCTGGTGGCAAAAGCTATACAGGTCCCATACTGCGTTTGCTTAAGTGAATGATCGTAGCTTGAGGTCAACCCCCTCTTAGTCATTAGTCAATGTGAACAAGTTTCTCCAACATAGTGGAAATACTTGGAGGGCGAATCAGGGACAGCGGCCGCCTATGGCAATCATCGCCCCGGGATGATGAGCGTGCGTGCTTGCTAGCTAGCGAAGCATTGAACGAATGTATTTTAGCAGCAGCTGTGCGATTCGCTCCTATAGTCGTGAGAGCTTCGGGAACATGTACCACTAACTTTGATGTAGAACTTCCTGCCTCATTGAGCCGGCCGGCTACTTCGAGCTCGAACAACCTCTGAAGTGTTGATATCAGGTCAACGGCGAAGGATCGACGAGCATGGTCAGTCAATGCCGCGATGATACCATGACACAGCTACACCTCCAACGTGCGAAATCTGCACGAAGGTCTTGGAGCTTTGATGACGAGAAAAGAACTTGGTGGCAAAGTCGTGTCTGGATATCTTTGAAGCTCAGTGTGTACAACTGACCGAAGTAAGGAAAACGCCGGTCCAAGCTTCTAGCGAGCCCTGGCAGCGCCAGGCGAGCATGTGACCAGCTTCCCCTGGCATGCGTCTTCTAACCACAACCTCCTTTGATAGATCACGTCAAACTTCATCACAGGTAAAAAGAGTCCATGGATACAGAGAATTTTGTCTCATTTAGGGGTATAAAATGTGGTATTTCGGAAGGCTAGCAGGCGCTCAAAATGAAAATGTCAAAGCAACGCAATCTACGCGAAGAAACAACTTACAAGTTACAAAGTAGAGATCAGAGGCTCATGGAGTCTGTCACCAGTCTCACACCTAGTAAGGTCCTCTGAAGCGATCGAGGTCATCTCGGCGTCGTAGAACCTCGTCAAAGTCCCTCTCAATACGACTCCTCTCATTCCTCACCTGGATGCGCGCAAGATTGAGCCTTGCCTCCCGAAGTCTGCGCTCGCTACCATGCTCTCTTCGGTCCGGGGTGCGGAACTCCTCCTCAGCTTCAGTCTCACGGCTGTTGGCGACGCGGTTGCGCTGGACCAGGTTGGTACTCCAGTCAGTCAGTTCACCGACCCCCTGGTCGAATTCTCTCTCCCGTCGAGATTCCCAGGCCGCTACCTCGGATCGGAGCCCTGAGATCTCGCGTCGGGTGCGTTCAGAACGCTCGCGGGCTTCCCGGTCGGCTTCTTCTCTCGCGTTTCGCTCTTGTTGTTCACGCTCCGCCGCACGCTGTTCGGCTCGTCTGCGGTCAATTTCTCTCCCTTCTTCACCTAGTCGAGGATTAGAGAATAAAGGGTTACGATCATTGAGGAAGAGTGTGGGGTCATATCGCGCTCGTTCTTCTTCATAACGACTTCCGAGGCCGCCGACAGGTCGGGGTCTGTGGACGCGTTGCTGAGCTTGTTGCCAGATTTCTGCTTGTCTCTCAGCTTCGCGACGGCGATCTCTCTCTCGCTGTTCTTCTTCTCGCTGGCTTTGTTGTTGCATGTCTCTTTGATGATCGAGATAGTTTCCACCAGCAGGCTGTTGGGGCTGGCCATAGAAGCTGTCTCCGAGTGCACCACCAGTCCGAGGGACGAATGGCGGAAAGAAGGCACGAGCGAGTCTGGGCTCGAACGTCAGACCCTGCGGATCAGTGAAAGGGTTCCAGTTGCCAAAGGGGTGGGCCAAGGGATCAGGCTGGTGACTCAGTCCATCAAACGGTCCATCCAGCCGTCCCACGGGTGCCTCGGGATCGCTGAATTCCGGGGTGGAAGGCCTTCTCTGAGGTCTGTTACGGTCGACGGCGATGTTGAATCTCTGCCTACACTGTGGGCATGTTGGGTTAGTTTGAAGCCAGTGCACGAGACAAGATCTGTGTCCGCGATGCTGCCCGTCAGAGCCTGATCCGCAGGGAAGTTGCGCAACATCCTGTCCTGGCTCCAGCTCTAGGAGGCAGACGCAGCAATCTGTGTTGTCCCCATCTACCCTCTCAAAGAGAGGACAGCTCGGATCTTGGAGGTTGTGCAGCTGGGTTCGCCAGGCCTGGCTTCGGGGGGCCGAGGGACGGGCTTGTTGTCTCGGAGGTTCCTGCCTGGGAGGCTCTTGTTGCACGTTCTGCTGTCTTGGAATCATGACCTCCTCGCCCTGCTCTCTCCGGGCGGCAGCATCAGCTCTTCTTTGTCTTTCGCTTGCTTGCTGCCCGGTTTCCTGACGAGGAGGTCTCGCAGCCATGTAAGCCAGGCGATCTCTCACAGCCTGCTCTTCTTCGTCCTGGCGCCGCCTCTCAGCCGCAGCGTTCTGCCCGCCCATTCCTCGCACAGGAGCGGGTCGAGAGTCGGTTCTGTGGCCGGATTGCGGGGGTGGAGGCTGCTGTTGAGGCGGGCGTCCTTCGTAGCAAGCGATGCAGATGCCTCTTGAGGTCTCGCTGCGTGTTTCGGGTCCATGGCATCGACCAGCACAGCTGGCGACGTGTCGCTCCTCGTTCGTGGTGTGACCACATACCTGGAAGAAGGTGGTTTTGTGGGTGCATGAAGACATGGCTGTGGTTATTTTGTCTTCGATGTTCGGAGCGTTTGATGCTTTCAAAACTTGGTGAGGACGATGGTTTAATAGTAGTACCCGAGTACTGTCCTTGATGATCGGAGAACAGGGCATTGTCGATCGTATAAAGAAAGCGTGGTATAATAACAATGGTTGTCTTTCGTTAGCCTGAGGTTAGTGAGGCTTTGCCGTTGTTTGACCTCGTTGGGTCTTGAAAGAAAGTAGTACACTCGGTTGAGTCCCTTTGTCGGCACCAGAAGAATGCCAGAATTCAGATGACTCGTCCATGTGGAAATCTTGATTGCGTAAGGTCTCATCATCGAATTACTTTCTTTGATTCTCTCGAAGTGTCGAGAATTGCAGATGCCCGAGTGAAACATTAACATCTCACCTTTCTCATCTTTCACAGAAATGTAAACGAGTCGAAGATGATTCCATTCCCTCTCAGGAGTCATCCAGAACTTCACAGCGGGCGAGGCTATCCCATACGTCCGACACTATCAGCCGCTCAGCCCGTCGACTCCAGACGCCAGATGTTCTCGGTTAGCTAGCTGGTACCCACCCCCTCCCTTGTTGCCCTACTAGTTCAAGCGAGGTATTTCAGACAGTTACAGTTAAAATCACAAGCACAATCACAAGCGAGAGCATCCAGCCTTAAAACCAGAACCAGAACCAGAACCAGAAGAAAAATCATTCATTACGTATCTATCTACCCATTATCTACCCATCCATCCATCCATTCATCCTTATAATGCATACCTGCTTCCCTTCATTCATTCGTTTTGATATATATATATATATATACATACATATATATACATACATAGGGTAAAACGCTCAGAACCCAAAGATCATTCTATCTTTCCCCACGCCAGCCAGCCCAATTTCCAAAAGTCAAAATTATAGATAGACGCCCGCCCGCCTGCCCAAACCCAACCCAACCCAACCCAACCCCAGCCCCAACCGCGCTCAATATCCAAACAGCAAAAAGGGCTCAGCAATTAAGAGCGGAAAACGTAAATAAACAAGATGATCAAGAGTGAACCCCCCCCCCCCCCCCCGGCCCCTCAGACCCCCCGTTGCGGACTCCGATCAGGGCTCCGTTCTGGACTACTGTGCCGCTCAATCTGCTCGACGATATCAAGCACCTTGCCCTTTAGCTTCCTCGACGGCGTTTCGGGACTCTCGTCCCTGGCAGCGGCAGCGGCAGCAGCAGCGGGGAGCAGTTTTTCCTTCTCGACTTCCATGTCTTTTTCCTTGCCCTTGCCTTTATCAAGGCCGAGGCTTTTCGTAGCTTCCTCCTCCTCATCCTCCTTTTCCTCCTCCTCCTCCCTTTCCTCCTCCTTTTCCTTCTGCTCTTCTGCTTCGCAATCAAACAACAACGCATCGCCCTCCCCCTCCCCCTCCCCCTCCCCGCCATCACGCTCCGGCTTGGCCGAGCTAAGATTCCCCAGGAGGGCCCGCATGCTCGCGCGTTTCCGCAGACTCTTCCGGCTCCGCACACTCCCCCCCACCGAGCTCCCCCCCTCGTCCAGATCCCCCTCCGAGCAGTTGACGACCCGCAGCCGCTCCTTCGGCACCGTGAACATGACCTGCACGACGCGGTTCTCCGCCGCGCGCTCCACGTCCCAGTCCTCGTCGTCCTCCTCGCGGTCCGTGTACTGTCGCAGAAACTGCGGCTTTTCCTCGCCGATGCCAGAGGAGCTCGTGAAGGTGTTCGAGCGTGGGTTGATGTCCGCCGAGTCCTCCCAGTCCCCCTTGCCCTGTTTCCGCCGCCACAGCGCCGCGCTGGCCGAGACGGTGCGGCGGGGCGAGAGATCGACCCGCGTCGGGCTGTGGTCTCTATATATCGGCGCGTGGGGATTGCGTTCCACCGCGTCCACGGGGGTAAACACCCGCCGCAAGCTACCGAACCAGCCTGCGCGACCCTTGCCCAAGAGGAAGGCAGAGGGTTTGGATTTCGACGGGCTGCCTGATCCCGAGAGGAGATACTCCTTCTGGTGACGAGTTGGCGAGGATTCGCCCGAGAGCAACCCCTCGCCGCCCGGTCTCGGGAGCAGCGCCTCACCCTCTGCTTGCAGAGTGGGAAAGCTGGTTTGTGCGGTGTTAAAGCTATTTGTAGAGCCGCTCCCTGAGCTTTGCGGGAGCGTACCAGGGCCCACGTGCGTGGTCGAAGTGGCTACATTCAAAGCGAAAGGATTCATACCCGTGATGAAGCCGCGCAAGGAGTCCGACCTCGATCGGCCCTGAGAAGAGGATCCAGAGCGGGAGATGGACACCGTGGAGATCTGGACGCTCCGTTCGGTGCCTTCGCTCAGGTTGCTCGCTGTGCGATTGTCTTCCTCCCCACAAACAGAGGACACGGTGGTGGCTGCGATCAGTTGGGCCCTCCGTGCCGGCGAGACTCGCCCCACGTTCGAGTGAATGCGCGCCTGGGAGTTGAGAAGAGCGTCGGCTGCTGCCCAGTCCGAGAACCATTCCTGGACTTCTCGCTGGCGAGGCTGCGCCGGGGTTTCTACGTCGGAGCTGCTGAGGCTGCGGCCACGGCGCATCGGGGTGGAGAAATTGGCCGGGGGCGGGTCTCTGAAGGGGTCCGAAAAGCGGTCGGGCACTGCTGGGCCGGGTACGAAGTTTGGGTCGCTAATTGCGATTCCCACGCCTTCGACCCCGTGATGGCTGCGCGTCTCGTCCTCGTCCGCTTCGTAGATGGGATGGATTGGACCTGATGTCCCGAGGCTGTTCGTGCGCCCATGATTGTTGCCGGTGCCGAAGTCGAAATGCGGCGTCGGTTGGTAGACCCCCCGAGCCCTGGACCGCACGGGTTTGCGGTGTATGTGAAAGGGGGCCGGCGGAGCCTGCGATCCGTCCCCCATTGCATGGACTCCGCGGGGCAGGTTCTCGTACCCAGCTGCCGCGCTGTTCGAATCATACAACGCGTCTCCCGCACTCCCGTTGTCCGGCCGTCCGTTCCACCGGCTGGCCGTCCATGCGAACACGCCATTCTGGCTTCTGGGGGATTCAAAGACGTTGGATGCTCCAAGACTTAAATCTCGGAGGTTCTTTTCTCGTTCCTCTTTAGCCTTGCGCTCGTGTCGTCGGCTGTAACAGAAGCAGACCACAAGGGCCCCGATGATAGCCGCCAGGCCCAGACCCAGACCTGCGCCGAGTCCAATTCTCAACGCGTTCGAGTTTGAATCCGAGGAACTGGAGCCATTCGCGGGGTCGCTCGCCATGGCCGTCAGATATGCAGGGTTGGTATAGTTCGAGGCCCAAGTCATGCTGGTCGCATTGAAGAACTGGACACGGGCACTGGACGACGTCTGTCTCTTCGAGTTCCCCGAAGTAGAAATATTGTACCCGCCAAGAACCATCATGACGTTCCCCGGGAGCATGACCGCGCCATGGCCGTAAATCCCACTCCCAGAAGGCTGCTGGTCCGGAACCATCCACTGCCAGTCCCCGGATCCTCCATAGCCCTGGCCCAGGCTCAGGACGGCGAGCTGTGGCTCGGCAGCCTGCGACACGTCTCCTACCCAGCCTCCGAAGATGACCATCTTCGTCCCATCCTCCGTCAAGACGGCCGAATGCCCAGATCGACTGTCCACGGCTGGCTCCGTGCTCTTGATCGCGAGCTCGGTATTGGCGTTCGACGTGCTGGGGGATTCCACCGTCACAAAGCTCCAACTCTCCTCCGGCAAGCCCCAGATGGCCACCTGGCTCATGTTGATGAAAGCCGTCTGGGTATGCCCCCCCACGAGCACGAAGCTCTGCTGCTGCGTCGCGATACCAGACCCGCTCGACGTCGTCGGCAGCAATGCCGTCATGGTAAAGCCAGCCTCTGCAATCGGTGGCCCTCGGTTCGTCGGCAGTCTCAGGGTGTAGGTCGTTGGCGCCGCGGGTGACACGGTGGGGTCCAGGAGAAGCATCTGGTTCGAATACGAGGCCGCCGACTGCCATGTTGGCACCGTCGCCGCATCGGCCGGACACATGCCACCGAAGACGTAGATCTTGGTCTGTGAGGCGTTGGTGCTGACCAGCGTCGAGAAACTGAAGGCCGCGGCCAGGAGGTATGCGCCTGGAAGCGCCGCGGCTGTCGCGTCGGAGCCTGGGTCGGTGACTTGCTGCTCCCAGGTTCCGTTGCCGACACTGCTGGTCGGGTCCGGGGTGAAGCGCCACAGGGCCGCGCTGGGGGATGCCGAGCAAGATCCTGTATAGACCGAGATGTCCCCGGCGGGAGAGATAGATGGGAGGATGGCATGACTGCCATTGCTCTGAAAGGGTGGATCGGGAGAGATGGTATCGAGGAGGAGATGGTCTGGGGAAATGGTCGCTGATATATTCAGTGATACAAAGCTCGTCGGGGTGTCCGCCGTATTCCCCAAGATGTAGGCCCGGTCCCGATTTCTCGAGGAAACGGGCGGCAGCAGGATACTGGTCGGGTTGTAAGGGAGAGGTTGATAGTGGGCTGCGAGCATCTGGAAGAGCAGGGCCAGCGTCGTCGCCAGGACGGCCAGCAGCGCGAGCGGGTCTCTCATGATGTTTGGTGTTGTGTGCTGGCCGGCCGGCTGGCTGGCTGGCTGGCTGGCTGGCGCGAGGGGTTGGTGATGGAAATAGAGAAGATCTGTCGACGCGTTTGCGCGCTGCTCACATAATTATGCCGACCGTCGCCGTGTGCCCGGATTTGTCGTCCGGTTCCGATGCCGATTCCGATATGGATTGGAGTAAATGATATTATGTTCTGGTCGCGGCGAAGAATCAATTGATCGAAAGTGATCATCATAATACGGTAACGTGGAGCAGAGCAAGCAAGAGAATCTCCCAGCTGGCGGGGGCAGGCACGAAGGCGGGCAGAGTCGAGTCTCAGCCAGCCGATGTCAACATGGGGGGCCCCACCTCTACGCCCGCGAACGCCCAATCACGGGACAGAAGAGCCCCCTCGGGTGCGGGTCTGGTGCGTGTGTGGCAGGGGGGGGGGGCGCGGTTGGGCGGTTGCCATGGCGATCGAGGATGCATGTGAAATGGGGAGTGGTGAGTGGTGAGTGCAGAGTGGTGCGAGTGCAGATAAAGTCGTGGCTGGCAGATGAGAGTCGTGGCTGACCGACGAGGAGGCCGGGGAGGTGATGTAGTGGGTACGTACGTAGTACCGGTAGGTATATACGGCGGACCGGTCTGGAGAAGGAGGGGACGGGTACGATGCACGTGGCTTGCTGATTAACGAGGGGTGGTTCGCAGAAGAAGAAGAAGAAGAAGACGAAGAAGAGGAAGAAGCGGCTCCAGCTTCCCCACCCCTTCTCCCGTAGACAGTAGTACCAACCATGATATCGTCACCACTTCCGCCGAGGGAAGAAATCAGCTGACAAGTCGCAAGTCGCAAGTCGCAAATCAGAAGAACGGGAGTACCAAAAAAAAAAGGAGCGAGGAAATGCAGAGAGTCAAACCTCGGAAAGAATAAGTCAAGGACAGGAAGAGGAGGCCAAAAAAATATGCAGAGATGAGTGAGTCTCTTGCGCATGACCTTCCCGCACAATCAACAGGAGATCAACCTACCGTACCCGCACATCTCTCATCTCCTGGGTAGCTACCGTACCTATCCCGTGCACAGTAAAGGACACATACGGAAAAGCAGGCCGGCAGAAAGGCAATCAAGCTGAGACACACAAACCAAAAAAATAAAAAATAAAAAAAAAATAAAAAAAATGAATAAAAAGGAGCTCGTAAGATCTCCTCTCCCTCGTGGACAACCCCTTGCGCTCCTCTGCTCTTCTGCAATCTCCGTTCTCATTTTTGTTCGTCTCTCTTTCCACCCACCCGCATCAGTCATATACCTACTCGTATACCAGCACCAGCACCAGCACCATACTTACACTTACACTTATACTTCGTATGCAAGCATGCGAGGAACCAGGACCTGGGCCAACAAAACCCACGCACGTCCACGCCCCCACCCGCTGCTGTAAGAAGGGTACCTACTACTACGTACGTACTACTCTCCCCCCCCCCAAAGGCTATACGACCTCGCTAGCCTCTCTTTTGACTTCCACCATGTTTTTCAATAAGTACTATACTACTACTACTAGGTACGAGGTCCTACTACCGGTACGTACGACTACGTAGCAATCTCCAGCCCTGGAAAAGCTCATTTGCTAAGCTTTCCTCGAAACCCTTTCTTTTCCGGAAAAGTAAAAGTCTCTCGTTCCGTAAGACCCTCAACGAAAGCAGATGTCCGGGGACGGAAGAATGTGTCTGCATCGCCCAGAACCCTGACAGCAGCGGCAGCGGCAGCAGCTCAGGGGGCTCGGGGGCGGGTATCACGACGGTAGGTACCGATATCATAGTACTACGTACTACGTACTACGTCCGTAGTAGGAAGTGGGAGTTGACCGGGCCCCGAAAGTACCGAGAGTGCCGATGGTGCCGAATGTTGAGAGGTCCCTTCCCCCGTGTTGGGAGTCTGGGGGCGGAATCTTTAATTAGTAGTAGATACAGTAGTTGTACTACGTAGTAGTATGTACGGTATGCGTGTGTGCATGCATCTTGCATATGCTCGGGACATATGCATACTACTACTAGTAGTACTACTACTGTACTAGTATATGCATAGATAGTCGGACGCCTACTAGTACAGTAGTAGTTGGACCGGTACCTACGCACTGGATGAAGGGTTAACGCTTTTGAGAAGGTCGATTTCCGGCTGATTGTTTGGCTTTGGCGTGGGTGCATGATTGTGTGGTTGGCATTCAATCTTATCGATTCTCCCTTGCTCGTGTTCGAGGGAGAAGAAGAGTCTCGTTCCGGGATCTGGTGTGGGCTGGGCTGGGGGCGGATGGGGGTTTGTTGTAGTATCTTCTTCTTCTTCTTCGTCTTCTTCGTCTTCTTCGTCTTCTTCGTCTTCTTCTCTTCTTCTCTTCTATTTCTCTTCTACGTCTTCTTCTCCCTCCAATTGTCTATCCACCCTGCCCTGACCCACAGCTGTTGGTCGGCTCGGCGGTGGTGGTTTCCACGGGCGGGATGGATGAGCGGCGGCTCGTCTCAATCTCGGCAATGCTAAAAGCAGTAAGGGCGCCTGTGGATCGGCAGGCAGGATCCTTTCATCCAATCCCATCCATTCATTGATCGGTCGGTTCGATTCGATTCGATTGGTTGGTGGAGCGGGAGACAAGCTTTTCCCGACCCGCATTCCACACATCGAGGCTGGTTGCTGTCGGCCAAGCCCATCATGACGCCCGGTGTCCCTTTTCAGTCATTTGCCAAAGAGCTCAACCTGGAGCTGCCCGGCCAATGAGGCGAGACCAAGATGCGCGAACAAGAATGATCCGACATCCGGGCTACGGCTAATCGACCCTTCGACCAATAGTCGGAGATGCTGGACCTTGAGAGGCAGGGGTGGCCCCGGATAAGCGGGCATGGCATGTCATGGCGGGGGGCTTGGCCACGATGGCAGGAAGAAGGTTGGAGGGAAGCCCGAGGCCTGAGAGGGCTGATAAGTACTACTAGTAAGTAGAGCAGAGAGGAGAAGGAAAAGGGATTGAAGTTGATCTGCATCAGAGGTTGCGGCCCGGCTTGGACCGGGAGTCAATCACCTCAAGTACATAGATACCTAGATAAGTAGATACATACAGAGATACATACACACATTTCTATATAGAGATATATATAGATACATGTATCCATCGCTTGATCTATATATAGACATCCTCTCATCTCCCCTTTCCCATCTCCCATCTCCCATCTCATCTCTCCAAAACGGCCTTTCCCCATCCGGCGAACTCCCCCCATCTTGTCCACTCTTTACACTTCGCTGCTGCTGATCCCGGGCCCCTACTTGGTTGTAGTAGTACGTACAGTGGTAGTAGTAGTAGTAGTAGTAGTAGTACTACTGCTTATCGGGCTCCCGCTTAGTTTCTGGTCTCCTGGGTGAAGATTTCGGCCCGGTTGGTTGAATTTGGGGCCTCTCATCGCCTTGACCGTCGACGGTGTCATTCGACCTTCCTCCGTGAATCGTTACCCACCCACCTATTTAATCATCATCATCATCATCATCATCATCATCATCATCATCATCATCATCCCTGCTGAAGGGGGAGAAGAAGGGGGCTTTTGTTCGCTGGCGTCTCTTTTTTTTCCTGCTTCTGGGTGCAGACCAGACCAGCCCGGACCGGCGCTAGCAAAAGCCATCCCAACGGCCGTTGACCTGACCGATTCCCACTTTTTTCTCGCCCGCACGTGCTCTCTCTTTTTTTTTTCTCTCACCCAAGCCACTGATCACACCACCTCACCTCTCACCAGAACCTCTCCACTTCACCCTTCCACCTCCACACCACCACCGGCTACATCCACACCACTCCTTTCCTTGCTGTTCTTTTCCTTTCCCCCCCCCCCCCCCCCCCACACCCACCCATCCATCCACATTCGTTTCCTCGTCGGCCTCGATTCCCAATCAATTGCTTCTCCTACCGGCGACCGGTCGACGACCACATCGACCACCGACCCACGACCACGACCACCACTACGACCTCAACCACGACGACGACGACGACGACGGCGGCGGTGGTGACATGGCCCCTGTGTGATTGTCCGACTTGACCTGCCATTCACCCAACCACACGTCGACGGTCCAAAACGTTGGTTGGTCATTGATTCAATGGGATACCTTGATTGATATTCTCATCCTCCCGTCGTTTTGCATTCCTCGCGCCCTCCTCGCAGCACATCGTCATCTCAACCCGACGACTACCGAGAACCCGAACACCTTCACTTACTCGCAGGCGGCCGGACCACAAGCTCGACTTTAATATAATCATGATGGCCTTCGCACACTGCTGTTCTGCATCGCTGGCCCTCACGCTGGCCTTCCTGCTCGCCCTCTTTCCGCAAGCAAAGGCACAATCCGTTTACGAGACCAAATACTGTTCGGATCTGAACACGGGCAGCGGATCAAGGAGTAAGCAGCTTCTCCAGTGATGGTGGTGGAAAGTCCGGCGTGCTTGATAGCTAACCTGGCCCCCTAGATTTCAGCGTCTACCAGAGCAACAGCATATGTGCCAATTACTGCAACGGGATCCAGGTGCCCGGCCAGAGTCAGCCGTTCGCCTTTGCCGTACTCCAGGGCAATTACTGCTGGTGCTCGGATTATGTGCCGGCGACCACGACGACCGGGTGTTCGAAGCCATGCCCCGGATTCCCCGACGACTTGTGTGGAGGAGACGACCTGTTTACCTACCTTGAGATTGGCGGCAACGAACCCGCAGGCACCAAAGGTGCTCCCGCTGCCACCCCGATTCCGGTAAGTTCTCTCCCCTCTCGCATCAATCCCTCCCCAGCTGGTTTGCAGCGTCTTCTTCTATTCCTACCGAAATCCTGTGACTCTGAGCGCCTTGAAGAGGGAAATTTTAACGCAAACGTATAACAGGCCGCGGAAGATTCCCCTCCAGCACCCCCTCCCGCCCCCGTGACCGTAGTCATCACTGCGACACCCTCGGCTCCTCCTGTATGGCATTGCTTTCCTTTTTGAAATTGTCTGCGTGCGGCAGGCACTTCTGCGGGTCCCCCCTCTTGAGCGAATGCTAACCACTCTTTGTGTGAAGACCAGCACCTCCCCCCCTTCGACTCGAGCTACTACTACCTTACTATCGACAACCACCCCCCCTTCATCCAGAGTCACCTCCTCCTCTTCGGCGTGGACCCCGACAGCTGTCACATCCCTCTCCGAGTATGCCCCGGGCAAGACCATGACCCTCATACAAACCGCGGCAGCGCCCTCGAGCCCCGGCACCGGACCCAAGTCGGGCAAGTCTGGCCTGAGTACGGGCGGAGCAGTTGGACTTGCGGTGGGGCTCTGTGCCTTGGTGGCACTCCTCGTGGCTCTGGCCTTCTTCCTTCTCCGAAAGCGTCGGCAAGAAAGGGAAGCTGCATCGGCGGACGATCTCAGCCGGAAGGGCAGCTCAGCCGGCCTCGGAGCAGGAACCATCCCGTCCCGGACGATGAGCGAGAATTCTCGCTACGTGCTCGGGACCGATGGGCGACGAGTCATCGAGCAGTGGGAGCCAGGAGAGGCGGAAGAGATCAGACGCAGCCGACTGATCCCCGTGGACCAACGTCTGGACCCCTTCTCGGCCGTGTACCAGCGCGGAGATAACAAGAGCCGCGAGAGTGTCAACACGCTCCGGGACGACCATGATTATTCCCGCCGCGTGGCCTCGGGTCCGGGCATCCTCCGCGCCACCAACCCCGACTAACACGGCGCTTCTCTCCCTTGCGCACACGAATGTCACGACCCTTTTCTTTTAATTCGTCAACCTCCATGCAGGATGTGGACGCTTCTACCCCGATTTGTGGGAGGCGTCACCACGGCGTTGTACAGTTACAGACGGTGTTACCACACGGGAGGTCGCTGGTGCCTCCCATCAAAAGTCCATGGATGGTATCGCAGCGAGCGTTTGAGCATGCCCGAGCCGCCCTTGCGAGCACACATGCGGTAGTCATCTCTTTACCTTGACGCGTGGGCCTGCCAGCCCCCTTGGTGATTTTCCCGGGGGACTGGTAGCACCACGGTCTTCTCACTCTTTTCTTCTCTCCGTATTCAATTCCTAATTGTAGTTATAGAGGCATATTTCGGGGACACGGGAGAGGGTGTCGCGGAGGGTATGCAGTGTTGGATTTGGGACGATACCTGGTCGAGGCTGGTAATCGAGCGAGCGAGCGTGATGGTGCGGATGGTGGACCGAAGCGGAGCGGACCGTGATGGATGAGACCGGTGTACATAGACGGCGGTCAAAAGACCAAAAACATACCGAGAGACAGCGAAAGATAGAGCTTGATTGCTTCCTTGCTTGCGTAAGCGGTAGGGAATGCATATAGGATTCCCAGGACTCTAATTCTCTACTATCTAGTGTGTCTTGAAGCTGTGGGATGTGATATTTGGGAATAAGTGATTTGTGACATGGGCTGAGTGCGACGGCCCGTACCTCTGTTTCCGTTTCCGCCTTCCGCCTGCCGCCTGCCGCCTGCCGCTTTCCGCTTTCCGCTTGCCGCTCTCTCCAGGCGTCTTCCCCTCCGGTACGGTATCGTACGCACGCACGCTCTTGCCCGTCCTGCTCGACGTCCGTCCAAGCTGAGCTGGAATGAAGCGACGGTGAAAGCTAGTGAAAGTTTTTTTTAAAAAAAAATATATATATATATATATTTTTATTTCAACTTTACAACTAGGTAAACCAAGTACTTACTTTTCGTTAGGGGCTCGGTGTAATGTGATGTGATGTGGTGTAATGTGGTGGAGTGTGGTGTAGTGTGATGTGGTGTGATGTGGTGGAGTGTGGTGTGGTGGAGTGTGGTGTGGTGTAATGTAGAGCAGGAGTAGGAGTAGGAGTAGGAGTAGGAGTAGTAGCAGGAGGAGGAAGGTTTGATTTGATTTGTTGAGTTTTATGATTGATAGGGAGGGTGATGGGGGGGGGGTTTTGAGATGTTTGGGGGGGGGGAGAGGGTGTGGTGGAAGGGTGTGAGAGAGGGAGGGAGAGGGAGAGAGAGAGAGGGAGGGGAGGGAGAGAGAGAAGTTGATACCTACCTTACGAAGGAGTTTAGTTGTTGATGATGATGATGATGATGAGAGGATGGATGGAGGAGGTTGGTTGGTTGGTTTGGTTAAGCGAGGAGAGGAAGGGGGGATGGGAGCGGGGGGGGGGGGGCGAAACTCCCCAAAAACAAAACCAAAAAAATAAAAATAAAAAAACCGGTATTGGACACCTGGAGCTGCGACAGGCGGTAGGTGAACGCGACAGCATCCCGAGACGCCAGACGCAGAAAGGTGCCTCCTACGCAGGGAGCGACATGAGCCACGAGGGGCAGTCCAGGGCGCGAGCAAAGGCTCTTCCTGGGCCCGTCAGGATCTGCAGAATCCCAGGTTTCAGGCAGGCAGGCAGGCAGGCAGTCAGCAATGATGACGATGCTCTCGTATGGCCTCTCTTGTTGAATCAAGTCAAGCGGGGAGAGATCAACCTCCGTTTCGGAATAGCTGGTGCCCGCAGGATCCCCAGACGCCGCGCAGGACCCGGTGAGCCACGGCGGTTGGATGGTGGCCGACTATGCCGGACCAGCTCTCGACCCGGCCCCAGAAGACGTCATGGCTCCTACCAAGGTGAGCGTGGCCACCTGCGGCAGGCCGAGGATGGAGATCCGGACGAGCCGCGGCGAGAGGAGCGACAGGTGCAACGCCGCAAAGAAGTCCCCCAGGCGAGGGGGCAAGGCCGCATCGATCGCATGCTCGACTTGGAAGTAGGGGGCGAGGTGCGGGTAGCAGTTGGTGACGTCCAGGATGCCCACACACAACCCCACGAGCAGCACCTTCCGCAGGACGAACGCGCTCCGGGACCGGTGGGGCGACGTCGGTGCCGGCTGGGAGGAGTACAGCACGGCCGGGCGGGCGGAGCGATACGACGAGCTTCGACCCAGACGAGCCGGCTCCCGAAGGTCGGCGGGTACTGCTCCGTCCAGGCGATCCGGTGCGAGCCGTTGGCGGCGGCACTTTGGGCGCGGGTCTTGGTCTTGGCTTTCGTCTCGTGGATCGCGGCCGTGACGCGTTCCAGAACCTCGTCAACGTTGTTGTTGTTGTTGTTGTTGTTGTTGTTGTGGGGAAACTCTCAAGCATGTATATATGTATATATGTATATATAATAAGAGCGCCGCGGGCCTGGACGCACGACGAACATGTGTGCGACGCAGCACCTTCCTGGCCGTCGGGAGGGAAGCTTTCAACGCCACATGTAGCGCTATTCATTTCCTGGCTTTGCTCTTTCACCCCCCACCCCCCCCCCCGCAAAGAAAAGATCTTCGTCTCTGTACGTACGTAACGTGGTATCACGATCTGCCATGTCTGTTCCCTTGAATGATGGAGCCATCTGTGTCTCGAGTCGTGGCCATCTATCTCACTTCTCAAATTGGCTGGCTTCTTTCAGCAACCCCAAGTTCGCATCAAGCAGGGCCATCGCAGGTTTCATGTATCGGGCCTCATTCTCGCTGTTTATTTCAAGTGTCCATCGATACTCTCTGAGTTTTCTGCGGTAGAATTCTACATCCTCTAAGCTTGATACTATAGAGAGGAGTAAGGTGCCAAAGACGCCAACCAAGGCGAAGCTCTGAGGGGACGCAAAATACCAGAGACTGAATAGGTGTTGCGGTTTCAGTGACTGGACAAATTCTATAGCAAATACGAATCGTTCACGGGCTACAGAGCGTCAGATCGGGTAAAGATGCGGATCAGTGGATGGTGAGAGGGAGAGGAGAATACGTCGATGGAGTGAGATCTTGGCAGCGATGTATTCAAGTCTCAGATATCCAACCGAGTTGAGTTTCGTAACGTCCGTATTTTCTATCGACGGACAGTCTGGAAAGATTGAAACCATTCCTTCAATCGAAGTTGAACGGGTTTGACATTCTCTTGGATAATGGCAAGGCCGTTCGCGCCAGCGGTCGCAATTTCTGGGGGCGGTATCAGCCTGACAATTTGAAGTGGAACCGAGATGTCTATGATTTACCTCTGGTTATTCTTGCTGGGAAAACAGTGTCGAGGATATCAGCCAGGATCTCCGACAGAGTAATCATGTGACTAAATAGAATCCGACCCTTCTGAACCTTCTTGATCATCTTCGATGGTCTCCGGGAAATCTGCATCAGTAACGGGTTCCAAAATCCAGTTGGCAGAGCTGATCAGAGCTGGACGTCCGCTCCCCAAACTACTCCATTTATCTTGCATGTAGAGACCCCAGCCGAGCCGTTTTCGCAGACCTTTCTCCCAGCCCGGATATTCCAATTTGAAGCATCGAGATGCAGTCCAAGACCATAAGCAACGCTGATTAATTGAGCTGTCAGTTCCGCCGAGTCGGTGTCGGTGTATTGGAGAAGCAAAAGGCCGGCTTGAACAGTTGAGATTTTTGGCCGATGGATCGTATCGCCGAGGGCTTTCCTCGCTAATTTCTCAAGCTCCTGAACGTCCGGTTTCGTAGACTTGCTGGGCTTCTCGTCATAAGAGCATTTCGGCTCGGCTGGCTGGCTGCCTGGGCCAGGTGGGATGAGTGGAGGCGGGATCTGGCAGTGGCAGGGCTGTCTATCCATCCGTATAAGAAATGCCCGCGACCAGCGGGCCAAGTATTATCTTAGCTATTAGTTCTAATATACATTAATTCTAATATACATTACTTCCAATATACATTACCTCTAATATATACAACTCGAGCCACTCCTTTACAATGGATTAAAGCCCGGTTCTTCGTCATATCCATCATATCCTTCAATCCCCCAAGCCTCCCAATCAACAACCCCCTTCGAAGATTTCATCAGCTTATCTTTTGAATGAAAGCATTTGCCAGTTAATCCCAAACGACCCTTATTTACCGCTTCCGTGGGAATAACCATTCGCAACTGCCAGATAGGATCTTCAACCAATGAAAAGCGCAGCGCTTTCTCGGGCTCTGATATCGATGCATCTAATGACTCAATGTAATCCACGATGGCTTCTTCGTATTCTTCTTCGTCTTCGTCCCATAAGTAATGTTTCTCCTTACCATTCGGAGTCATTTTTACATAATACTCCGGAATGTATACTTTGCCTATACGTTCTATCTTCTTCTCCTTCGCTTCAATAATACAATACTGATAGCCTTCTATGCTTTTCAAGTTGCTAGCTTCGTTTACTAGTTGAATGATTAGCTCCTCGTAATGAGTACCGTTCGATATAGATCAACTAACCCAGATAAAAGCCGAGTCCTGATTTTTTACGGAATGCGGACTTCAAGGATTTCACCATCTCTAACCCGTTTTTCTGACCAATGCGCGAAACATCCGCCTATGATTCGCATAATTAGTATCAGCCTGTATAGAACAAATCAAGTCAAACTTACATCGGAAAGCGTTGCATAGCCAATGACTCTTTTTTTCTCCATTAATCCTTGAGCCCTATTAAAGAGGAAGCTCAAGGCTAGCAAGATCGCGAAGATTAAATTCGATCGTAGCATCGTGTTTGTATAAGTCTTTTTAATGATGCGAGCTGAAGAAAGGAAAAAAGGGAACAAGCTCGCTGCTTGCAAAAGAAGAGGATGGTGAATTAACCCTGAAGCGAGTGCAAGAAGAAAGATATACCTCTTTTTTTTTTTTAAATGGTGATTGGAATTTCTACGTCGGCTATAAATAGTCGTGCAGCTAATAATAATCATCGCACTGACTGTTACCGTATACTTTCACCCAGTACGCGCGCCACACCACCTACGTAGTACCTAGGGTTCATGTGATCCACAGCGTTTCACACAGCTTCTCGTCATGCTGCGCCTGAGCACTGATCATTTACTCTCTCCCTAATTAAATGTGTCTTTTATAGGCCGATTCCAGAGGGTATAGCAGAGGGTAGTAATTGAGTATACAAAGGTTTCAAGCCAATTAAAGTGAAAGCCATGTGACTTTACTCATCCTTTGTATTGCTTAGAATCCTTCTTTTTGCTCAGAACTTATATGTATTCGATCCGTTTTCAATCCATTCATGGCTATAATAGATACTAATGAGTTATTGAATCCACCGATCCTTTCATAATTTTTATGATTCAAATACCGGAAAAACGACGTATTCGCTTACAAGAGATTATCCGATTCAATCGAATAATGAATTCTTATCAAGACTGCTTTCGATTAAGCTACACTTCGGACGGTTCGAAGAAGATATTAAGAAAACTATTCTTATACTTTTCGATAAACTCGTTTAGCTCGCGATCAATTTTAAACTTCTTAGAAAACTCGATGCGATCGACAACTGCTTATTCCGCAAGAAGAGGTTAATTAATAAGCTTTGGAATTGCCTTTTAACTTATTTTTTTTATCGATTCGTTTCATGAAGCGATATCTTTATTTTTGCTCTTGAACTTCAATCAACTAATTATGGAACCGAAGCTATCAGAACAGCATTTCGATCTCTCGCATGCGGAAAACGAACCGCGAAAGAAAAGAATTCTCGAAACACCTAGCGATAATTGCATATCGATTGCCATCTGCTCGGGAAGCTATTACTTGGTCTCGAAAAAAGTCTTGAAAAATAAAATAAGCTTTCTTAAACGAAACTTATGCTTACGGAAAAGCGTTTACGGAAATCTAAATTACTATTTTAACCGAAGGTAATCTTGATGCGATTCGAAAAGATCGATATCGATTTGAGTGTTTATATTATAAATATTCGAAGTAGCTTTCTTAGATGCTTTGCGATATATTTTGTAACGAAAAAATGCAGTACGAAAAAAAAGAAAAAAAAAAAAAAGGAGAATGAAGTTTCTTAATCGTCGGTTACCTTGAATTTAATTTGTAAAAAATCCCGACTTGGCTGCGCCAGGTCGGCACCACCAAGGCGGGACACCCAGCAAGGCGGGACAGTAACGGTATACCACTTATTAAACAACAACTATCATTATAAAAAATTAAAAAAAAATCTTTATATGCTTAGAAAATTCTGCTTTACAAACTTGAATTAAAATTATCAAAATCCATTTATTTGTAGTAATCTAATACATTAAAATGTAATGAAAAAATGGTCAAAAACTGTCTTGAATAATTCAAATTTACTTGTTTATTGCAAATATCTTAATAACCACAACCTTAATTCAAAAAAACGTCACATAGATCGAAAATAAATGATTTAATATATTATAATACTAAAGGTATTAATTATTAAATAAAAGTTGGTAGTGATGCACGTATTCTTTTGATAGGTTTAAATAAAAGTCCGATTTTCGTATTCCTCGCCTATTCTAATATATACGCGTTGATTCTGATATATACACATTACCAAAATCGAAAAATATACAACAAAAGTATTATTTTTATTACTTTAACTCAACACAATAACGGAATAACAACTTGTAATTAAAATTCAATTGATCGATTGATATTAAACTCAGTAAAGCGCATCTTTTTATACAAAAATAATTATTATATAATGGTTGGTCGATTTTTTATTTATTAAAAAGGAGCAAATTTTACTGTCCCGCCTTGGTGGTGCCGACTTGCTACAGCAAGTCGGTCAATTCTTTCGAATTAAAATTTAAGGAAACCGACGATTAGGTTCGAAAAAGTATAGCGATATAATACTACGTCGCAGGCGTAAGTATTACCCCTCGAGGGTAGGGAAAACAGGGGGTTTAAAGTGGAAACTAAACTTTTGAGGCACCCTCGAGGGGTAATACTTAGGCCTGTACCGTGGTATTATCGCAAGTATAAATTTAGTTTAATCGAAAACAGAAAAGAACTCGACTAACTTAGCAGCACGACAAAGCTTCTTGCTCTCGATCGTTTGAGACGCAAAATAATCTGTATTATTGGTATCGCCGGTAACGGTCGTTGATTCCTATCGCGTAACTCCGTGCAATTGCAAAAAAAAAATGGGTAAAAATGGTACTCGCACTCTGTCTGCTCCCCGAGGTTCAGGGGAGCTGACTCCTTCTATACGATCAGAAGGAGTCACGTCCACTATCTATATAATAATGTTTACAGCGAAGTTGGGGGTTCCCTGAGAGTATGTCACGCTAAGCGAGGCATGCTCATCCGCCTGAGATAGCCGAACCTGCCATTTCCCTAACTACGTCGGGTCGATATTGATGTACCGACATATATCGAAGGAATATTTCGGCAATCGATTATCTTCTCAATTTTCTCGGTTTAAATTTAATCAAATCTGTTTAAAGTTGGATGAGAAAGTACATTTAAAAAAGATATTTTTTATTCATTTATAACGCTTCACCGATCTCCTTCAAAAGACTACGAAAATTTATATCGAAAGCTTAAGACGCCTATCTTTAATAACTGTATCGAAGTCTTACACGAATCGTAGTAAAAGCTTCATCAAGTTATAATCCATGCTTAAGAAAGGCCAACTTTTTACAGTATCAAATAAAATCTTAATAGATTAACATTGTCTTTGTCCCGATTAGTTTAAAACCTTTGTATACTCTACTACTACCCCTTGCTATACCCCTTCAAATCGGCCTACAAAAGACGCAGTATTACATTTATTTACGAGGAGGGAGAATAGTACTCAGAGATTAAACGCGCATGCTATAGATCAATAGAACCCTAAGTGACGGGGCACGCGAACTGAGTGAGAATATACGGTATATTTGTCTTTTTGTTCTCACTCTTAAATATAAACTATTCACAAAATTTCAATCTTCGTTTCAAATTTAAACAGATCAACGTTATTACTTGCTGGCTGCACCGCACTGGAAAGGGCTACTACTAGGAATAATCGTCGGTTTCGCCTCTCCCTATATACGCTCCAACCCCTTCACCCACCAACAAACCCGTACAAACCGTCGATTAAAGGGCTAAAGAGACAGTTGCTTGCATCGCGTCCAGTTAATCGGTGAAGATATAATAATTATACTCTCCCCCCCCCCCCATGAATAAATGTCGAAAG